GATGCATTAAATATTGATTAAATTTTATATGTAAAATAAAATAAAAAAATAACTGGAATAGTTGTAAGTGTTGCAATATTTTATATTTAAAAAAAATAAAAAATCTTCATTTACGTATTGCATACCTACATTTTAGGAACTACATAGATATTCCTAAATTAATATTGCATACCCAATATTTTAGGAACTAATTAAATGCTAATTTGATTTGCATACCAAAAATATTAGATGCATTAATTAAATGATTGATAAAAATAGCAAATCATTAATTAGGGTTGACTATTCTACATACTACATTTAGTAAATAGTACCCCCTTTAATATAAGTATAGATTTTATATTACACATTTACACCTAATTGATATTTATTTGCAAATATACAAAATCACCCTAAAATAATTCCACATATACTAGAATTTAAATTTAAGTCAGTTTATCCTTTAATTAGGGAAAGAGATGGATTTAATAGGATTTAATGCCTTAACTTCCTTATATTCCCTTTTATCTAAAACTGATATCATGGATTTAATGCATTCTCATTATCTTCAGAAGTTGACGGTCACATTCTCTTGTTACAGGAAGTTGAATAATGAACAAAACATTATGGTAGTATTCTCAAATAGCTGATATCTTGAGATGTGAAACCATGAAGGTAACCCGAAACTTAAAGAGTCCTTTCATTTTTTGTGGTATTTTTTTCCTTTTTTTTTTTTGCTCCGTTGTCCCATCCATTTTCCTATAATGCCTGGAGATTTTGTGCTAGATATATTGCGTAGGGTTTCCCTTGCTTCCAAGTCACAGGGCTCCTCACCGTCTGCTTCTTCATTGTCATCCGTATCCTCGTGTAAGATGCCAGCAGTGGCGGTGGTGGTTAGGGTTTGTGGATTATTGTCCATAGTAGTTGGTTGATCAAGGAATTGGGCTTGGCTCAATTTTCATTTGGTTATCAGAAAATTAAGGGGGCGCTTGTTTATGGAATAATTTGTTCAAAATGAGTTATTTTGGTTAACCATAGTTAATTTTGAAAAAGGTTGTATGGTTAGTTGTTCGTGGAATTTTAAGAATATATTAAAATAATATTTAAAATAAAATGATTAAAAATGATTTGATGTAAAAGTAGGAGATAAATGATTGAATATGATTGAAAATGATAGGTAGTTAAAATTATGTGAGTGGATGAATAGTGAATTAAAGTTGATGTGATGTGTAAGAATGATTGGTTTGTATAATTTAATATGAATAATATTAAAGATAGTTGGGTTGAGTTAAAGTTGAGTTAGATTTTGAGTATGAAATGAATGAGAATGAAATAATTTGTAAACAATCATGCCTTAAAATGATCTATTGGAATAGACGACAAACATCAATGGATAGGCGGTTATGTATTAGTACCCGTAAATGTTGAGTATATAGACAGTATATTTTCAGTTTATAGACATTTTACGTCTGGATTATTTACATGTTGCTCAGACGGCACGTATATGTTGAGTATATAGACAATATATTTTCAGTTTATAGACATTTTTATGTTTTCAAAATATTCAAAATCTGGTTTAAAACAAAAATTAACTGCTTTTTGCTGTGGTTGTGTATATGTATAGTTTATATACATAGTTCATTCATCATATAATGAATCAAAATCATCATAGGTGACTTCGTCCACAAAAATGTAAAAAACATATACCTTTAGTATACCAAAACAAAACAGTACATAATAGAAGATGGAGTATATATTCAATATATGTTCTGTATATTAGAAGATTTTTTTGTTAGGGAATATAAGTAACCTGTTATAATATGTTTATAAACTATATATATACTTTTATGTATAAAANAAAAGTTAAAAAAAAAATAAGACATAATTTTTTGATAGAAGACATGTTTTTCATTGCACAACATACTAAATATATACTAACATAAACACAATATATACCACCTGACAGCTGCGTGAATTACAAAACATGTTTTTATTTCTCTATATTAAGAACTTGAGCGAATTAAGGAATTAAATGAGTCAGTTATTTATTTTTATTTCTCTCTCTTAATCAAGTGCATAAAAAGGGAGATGGAAGAGTGAATGATATGGTAACTTACTTTAGACATTAATATAGATAAATAAGGTCTCTTAGATAGAGACATAATTATTTTTACTTGTATGGTAAAGTTGCAATTAATTTAAAATCACACAGCATACATAAAAATTTCCCAAGAACTGTTGTATGTTTCAGCCATCAAGCTACTTTGTGAGGTAGGGGCCAAACTGGTGACTGCTGCGCCTTGGAAAAGTCTATGAAAATTTGAGGAAGTAGCGATAAACTAAAAATGAAGCACCACTAAGGCCCATGAAACGCAAATGCCTTCTCGCAAATGACTCAAAACGAGGAGTTCGGGTTTGCCAGTCACCTGACTGATCGAAGTCAGTTCTTATCGATCCCTAACTACCATTCTCTCATTGTCAACCTCTTTCCAGAATGTAAATTCATTCTGACAAATGAAACCAGTAAAGCCACTGAATCCGTTGAGACCACCGCCCAATAAGTCTTGTTACGGTGCCCAATCAGTCTTGTCCTGCCGGACTGAAGAATATTCGTCTCGTCCTCAAAAGACGGATTTCTGCATGGTACCATGCATCAATCATCTAGCCATCAAGGTGACAATCGGCCATAATTGTATTTTACCTTTTGTCGCATATAAATGAGGCATTTAGCATGTCATAGAAAAGGGGGAGGAGTGGAACAACGAGATAACACCATACAACAATACACAAATACTCAAAAAAGTTCAAACTAGAGCTACCACTGTAACATAACACTTTATACTAGTCATATTTATGGGGAATTAACTCTCTTAGTCGATCTCCCACCAGATCAGCAAAACTCTGTCTACTCTTTATTTTTCTGCTTTTCCATTATTAGGTAGAACAAATCGTTTCAGGTCCTCCTATAACATAAATTTAAACACTCTTAGTTCCATCATTAAGAGTCTTTGGCGATCGCTCGTCAACAAGAACAAATCATTAAATTTCCTTAGCAATATAAAAGGGTAGAGGACAAGAATTTAAGATGAACATAGATCTCGAAATATTAAATTGATTCTCCTTGCTTTGATGTCGGACAAAGAGAGAAACTGAACACATGTGTTACTATTCTCACCATAATTTTTCTGGTGGAGATAGTATTTATTTTCACATGATCTTATCAAACGCCAAGGGCTGCTATTTATATGGGGAAGAAGGGAATAAACAATTTTCTCCAGAAAAACTCACTCAATTTCATAGGAAAATTGTGCAAGCGGCCAAATTATTTTGGGCAGCGGGAACCAGTTTTGCCCGGTGATCCTTCTACATAAGACCTATTTAAGATCGGTGCTGAAGGTGACATCATTTTTTATTTACTTTGGGATGTTTTAAGTCAATGTCACACTTCTTGTGTCAGAGGTTTAAAAAACTATGTTGAGGTAAGTTAATTTGCCCATAAAGAATGCTAATTCAGATCGACAATTTTTATGCGCAACAAAGGGCCCCAAGTTCCTGAGATTAGGTGATGTCATGGCGGTTGGTCGCAGGAATTTGTCTGAACCTTTATTGTGTCGATCTGTTGGGGCATAGTCAAATTGCTAATCATATCGGAGGAAACTCCCCTTTAGAGATAAAAAATGTGAGCGCATTTCTTGCTCATTAAATGAAGACGTGACAATTTCTTACATGTGTCGAGGTGGCGTATTTATCCAAAGTCGACATTACATGTGCTCCTTTTGAAATAGTTTGTGCATGAAGTGTCGTGTCCTTTTTTTGAAGCGATAGATGACATTTCTAAACGATTATTAGATATAATTTTGTGAGGGAATCCCAAGGGTTATAAAAATAGGGAAAAAGAGGTTTATCTACTACTCCTTTTGTCTTATAGGCCCTTACATCCAAAGGCACATGATTTTTTTCATTGGCCTTCTTTCATTTTTTGTCGTAATAGTCATTGTCACTGGAGGAACACCTTGCTAGGTTAAGGGATAAAAAGGAAGCTGCTCTTTTGACACCGGAAGGATTTTGGTGTCAATCGGGTATGGCGGTTGCGTCGGCTCCATGTAAGGTGGGGATTGGTGGGATCACCAGCTAGGCGACCGATGCTAACGTTGTACGGTTGAGATAAACTTGCAAAATCCCTTTTTCTATTGAAGTGTTCGCACCTTTTCTTAGAGAGCGGGTGCATTGTCGCCCGCCAGGGTGTGTGGCAATATTTGTGGAGTCAGTGAAGTATGGTCTCTGCTTCCCCTTTCCAGGTATCTTGACGGAGTATATATGAATCTGGGACTGGGCATGACGTAGATTCACCCTAATGTGTGGTCGATTGTGTGTCTTCATTGTGGCTTTCTTTGATTTGAATCTTGGGCGACCAACATCAGGGGAATTGAAATCAGTCAAACCTGGTGGACAGGGACGCCTGAATCTCGCGCGAGAGAGGGGCCTCCCCTCCTCGGCCACCTTCTTCTTCTTCTTGAGGGGTTCTGGTATGAAACCTCCTCAGCGATAACATTCTCCCCGCCGGAGACCACCGGTTCGTCCTCCCGAGCTTGATGCCTCGTGACACGAGGATCAACGCCCGTCTCCGACTGATCATCTCTTCGGCTAATTTTGGCCCCACGACTAACGGTATGGCCTCCTCGGCAGGCGGCTTGAACACCCCTCGCAACGCCAGAAACCGGCGGTGCAATGTCCTCGGCCCCTGCCGAACTGGCAGCCTGGGCTTTCTTGGCCCTCTCCATAGCCATCTTCAATCTGACCATCATCTCTTTTGTCTTTACTTTGAGTGGATCCGGGTTGGCGTGCCTGTACCGTTTAGCCTCCTTGACTGAGCTGAACTCGCGATGGCGAAGCAGCGGGTAATAAACTATGAACTATGCGCTATGAGTAAGAAGACAAATAGATGACAAAACTAATCGAAGGCCGACTAAAAAGACGAACCGAAAAAAGGAATACCTAGAACGAAAGACTTGTTGTCGATCTCGGGACACATGCCATAGTCAAGCAGGCTCTTCTTCTCAACGAGAGGCCGATAATGCCGACCTTCAATTGGACGACTCAGCAAAGTGGCGATCTTGACAGCCAGGTCCCCACTAAGGTTCGAGCTTGGGTTACGGACTAAAACGTAAATACCGACCTGTTATCACATGAAAGAAAGCAAAATTAGTAGACTAAGAGGGGAAAATCCGAAAGCTTACTTGTATCATAAATAATGTGAGTTGGGGGGCGCCGAGCTGCGTCCTCGGTCCTCTATTCGCCGCCGACCCAAACCACTCGGGCATATAACCATGTAAGGTCTTGGGCAATTTGGCGACCAACATCCTGTCAATCCCCGGGAGCACTAAGCTGTAATAGTTGTCGTTGTCACCGGCCTTCTTAAAGGTGAATAGCGCCTTCACCTCATTGCTGGTAGGGTCAGACCAGCCCTGACGGCAGAACATCACGATTAAGCTCACAAGCTAAGCTAATACGATTGGCACTAGTTGGCTAATATCGATGTCGAGCTTCAGTGCATCCGGCAGAGAGAATCAGAGACCTAGGAGAATGCTCGTACGGTAAACCCAAATGCAACCCGGCATGGGACAGTGGATCGGCTCTCCTGTGTAGGGCGCAAATATCCATACCCCAGGACCGAAATTGACCTTACCCCTCAGTTTGGCTAGGTCAACATATTCCATAACGGATGGCATAGCCCAAGCCATCGCCTCGCTAGGCGCCGCCCAGATTCGAAGAGGTCGGTGCCATAAACTAGGAGGAACAGTCGTCACGGCCTCAACCTCGGCATCAATTGCCTCATCGCCACGGCCCATCGGGACTCGCTCTCCCCCCTCAGTGTCGACTTGAAGGTTCTCATTGACGAGCTCCTGGTCGACGTCGGAGTCCTCGTCGTCGGCTTCGGTCGATTGGTTCAAGTCGAGTCCGTCACCCTCATGCAAGGGAGAATGGGGTATTTCCTCCCTCTCACCTCCGCCACCGCCAGATGCCGTTTCAATCGCTGACGAATCCGACCGAACCATCGAAATAGGCGTCGCCCCAAAAGGAACAACTTGGTGTTTAGGCAAGAGCCTCAATTTTTAAACCGAACAATTATGCATTCAACATAGATTTGGGACTCGATGAGATTATTCCCGATGCACTGGAACCTTTTATACTTCTCTAGTATTTAATTATATTATAATTCTCAGTAGTTTATAGTTAATTTCTCCCAAGCTTATGCGATTGGAATGTTTAAGACCTTATTTTCTTTTCGTGTGTTATCGACATCGATTCTATATTCCGAACCATCTTTCCTGAGAGATCGACCCAGCTCGAGATTCATTCCGTACTTGGTAAAACATATTTTGTTACAACAAAGGTCAGTCGTATTGGATATGGAGAGGGCATGGGAGGTCGGGATGTATACTCGGGCTTGTTGGAGTGCCAAGATAGGTCCTCGGGCTCATCGGAGGTTGATGGATAGGTTTCAAAGAATTTTTTTTGCTCGCTCAAGCTAACTTCTCCTTCAAGCTCGTCAACCAGCTCAAGTTGGTGGGCTTCGGATAATGGTGCAAAAGGGGGTAGAGAAAAGAGAGGATTTTCCATGACATCGTTCTGGTTTATACTACGGTCCCAGGTCGAGTTTTNAAGCAGAGAAACAAAGAAAAAGAGAAGAGGAAGAGGTTAAAGGAAAGGGAAACAAAGAGAAAATGGAGAGAGTTACAGAGAACATACCCATTTGAATTTGACGTCGAGCTTGAGGGAAGGAAAAGATCACCGTAAAGTTGATGAGCATGCAGAAAAAGTGACGACTACGTCGTAAACTAGAATATACATACATACATACATATATATATATATAGATATACAGTGCTTAAGTGTGTAGAGGGTTGGAAAAAGAAGAAAATCAGAGAGAAGGGGCCTTATTTATAGCTACTAAGGTGACCGGTTCAAAGGTTGATAATTGTAGACTATTTGATTAAGAGTAACGACTTGCAGATCTATAGTGTAGGTCATGCCTCAGTATGCGAAGTATCGCTTTTATGTGCGAAACGATGATAGCGTTAAAGTACATTGATGAGATGTGTCGGGCATTTAAGGCGGCTGACACTCGTATAATGATCCCACATTTAATGCTGAAGGACATACTTTCATATTTTTATGACTTCACATGTTAGAGATCATGTGCTCATAAATGGGAGAGTTGTTTATATATTACAGACAACTCGGTTCAAGACTAGAGCTCTCCCAACGTGACCTAAGTTGGGGTTTTTTAGGTTAATCATGTCAATTGTGTCGAGTTGGAACATAAGTGTCAGGTTAATCATGTCGATTGTGTCGGGTTAGAACAGAAGCATTAGGTCGAGTTATCAACGTAACGACCTATATGCCTCAAGATCTGGTTAACCGAGCTAGTATAGTGGAAAAGTTGAATTATTCCATGAGAAGACTTTAGTTTTGGTCAGGGGCGTAGCCAAAAAGAAATTTAACCCGTGGCTGCATATTATTGTAGCTATTATTGGAACTGGGTAAACATGGTCATGGGCTGGCCCGGCCCGCCAGTTCGGCTCGAACCAACACAAATTGGCCCGTGACCATGGGTCTTAAACCGTACCGTGGTTTTGACCAGTCTGGTTCATGTTCAATACTTTATAGTTTATACATTTTGAATCGGCGGTTTCAGTTTCGAACTAGAACCAGAATGGAAAGTTTGGCCTTTTTTAAAATAATATATTATTTTTTAATTATTTTTTTTTCAATGAACCGAGCGGTCAAGAACTGACAGTTCAATGAACCGGCCCGAACATTTGGGCCAGTTCAGGCTCTCCAACCCTCGGCCGACGACCGACGGTTTCAATTCAGAATCGATTTTGGCCATGACTAGAACTGAATTATCTGTTAACATATTTCGGTTCGAATTGTGAAAACTCAATCTCGACTCATTTATAAATTTATATTAACCAAACTCAAATAGCTAATCGAACTTGTCAATAAAAAAATTAGAGTCGAACATGTTTGCAATCAACTCTGTAAGAGTTTTTTCTTTGTGTATGAAATGAGGCCAAATTAATTATTGGAGGTGAATTCAACAATATCCAAACGAAAATGGTTAACGGGCTGTGCAATGAGACAAGCCAAATTAAATGGCCCGCATGAGAAGTGTTTGTCAAGCTTAATTATCCAGTTCATTTGGTACTTGTTAAGTCAACCCATTAAGAATTGAAAGGCAAAAGAGTGTTGGGCCATATTATAAGCTCAATTAATAAAAATCTAGTAAAAGTACAATTGTCATTTTTTTTTTCTCCAACGATAGAAATCTCATAAATATAAATAAGGTTCAAAATGAGTATAAGTGGGTAAAGCCCCGAAAAAACACCCGAGCATTAACATGAGAGCAACACTTCAAGAGTGTGCTAGACTAACAATAACCAGGAATTTCAAGCTAGCCAGACCACTGGGAACTTCAAATTCAAACTAACTAGACAACCAACAAAAGCAACCAAAGCTAACCAAGCCAACTATCTCAAAACTATATCAGATTAAGAAAAAAAAAGACAAAAAAACAGAAACAAGACAATAACCAGGCAACACAGGGATTTGAAGTAGGCAACAGGCTATGCAGCAGTGCAGAATTCTTGCCATTCCATGAGGGCTCTCTGGACAATAATCCTCACTGGCATCACTTCCTTCTGAAAGACCCAAAGGTTTCTAGACCGCCATATCCACCAGAGGATATAAGTTGATAGTTGGATTCTGTCCTCCGAGATGTCAGATTTTGTGAATGAGCACACTTGCCACCACCAACTCTTGAAATTGCTCTGCTATGTTTTGATTCCATCCCATATCAATGGGGACATTTTCCACACATCCTGAGCTCTCTGGCAGGTAAGTAACAAGTGTTCAGTGGTTTCCTCAACTTCACCGCAGTGCTTGCAGATTGGGTCTAAGTCAATGCCTTTCATCCTCAAATTTGTCCCAATAGGTAGGATACCAGTGAAGCATTTCCAAATGAAATGCTTAATTTTCCCTTTGACTTTAAGCTTCCAGCTTCTCTGTCTCACTTCGCTGTCTGAAATTCTGCTGTTGCTACCCTCTACCATGTCTAATCCATTGAGCTTG